GCGCACATCAGGAATTGTCACATAATATGCGCACAGGTTTCTCTTCACAGATAGTTTCGCGTGTAGGTGAGCGTCACCGGAACTACAGGTCTATGATGGTAACTGCATGCCCTATTATTATGTACTGAAACGAATTGGTTTACAGCTAGGTGCTATTAGTAGCTAGTTTTTGCCCTAGACCTTGCAGATAGATCCCTTCTTTGAATGCCACTGGGTTATAGTGCTGAGACAACATAGACACAACGTGGACGAGGACTGAAAGTACTGGGAAGACAATTAATTACATTGAGGGAGCAGAGGAGATCTCCAATGAGCCGTGGCCGAAAACTAGTTGCCGCAGGGAGACACCGCGCGCTCGATACTGGTTTGTGAGAAACAATGTATTCTATATAACCTTTCTTCGCCAATGGAAATGAATCCGTTATTATGCGCAAAAGAGGAATTCGTTTTCACCGGCAATAAAATGTGCATGTCGCGGAAATATGGCACGCAGGTAGCGCGCTAGCGCCACGCGGTCTGTAACCATAGATACCAGGCCGCCACCTGTCATCAGCTGTTCCATAATCATTGCATAGATTCCGTGTTGTGAATTTCGTTCTCATATACATTTGAGTTCTATTTTATACTATTCACTGTTGTACGAACAAGTCAGCACTGTTGTCTCTTTGTTATTAAGTTACCTTGAACTAGTTCAAGTCACATGTGCGTGAATTTAGTCGGTACTACAACGGTAGGTTATAAATCATAAAACTTGTTGTAATCTTTGGCCTAGGCCTACAATGTAGGTTACTTGTACGGCGGTAGCGGGTATAGGGACTATAAATGTAATACAGTATACGTCTATAGACTATAGCCTATATATACTATAGGGTGTAGCATAGTTAAACAAAATTTTATGTGTTTGTATATATAATATATCTCTGTGGGTGTAGGTATACTAATACTATTGCTCAGAGGGTATACCCGTCCCCCAGGGTACTGCCTGGGTACGGTCCGGTATGCCGGAACGTACCCTGGTCACTATTTGATATGGTTAGGGTTAGGATTAGGGTTAGGGTTTGCGTTAGGGAGTAGGCGTAGGCGACTCCCTAGACTCGTTAGTGGAGTAGGCGAGGTACGGGGCCCCTGTCTGCTTCATTCCATCAATGCAGGCACTGTCATTGGTCTTATTCGAGTGCGTTTCCCCTGAAGCAAACTCCCATGTGACCTTGGAATCCTGGCATTGGTTGCGAGTTTCCTTTACGGTTGTCTTCTTTCCTTCTGAAAGGCCAACACATTTTTTCATTGATCTATCTAACTCTACAAATGTGAAGAGTATACGCATTTCATCCTTCTGCAATACTTTAGCATTTGTGTAGCTTGCAAATATACATGGTGTCTTAGTTAATTGCGGGAACTTTCATCTCATTATAAAAAATTATATCAAGCCAGGAGTATGTGTGATAAGTGCAGCTCATAGGGTACATGTCCCCCAGGGTACTGCCGGAACGTACCCTGGTCACTATTTGATATGGTTAGGGTTATATCTGATCGGCGATGTGCAGCGTAGTCACTTCAAGTCGACATGAGTGTTGCTACGCTGCTAATCGGCGATAAAGTAGTCGCCGATAGTCAAATCGTAGGCCGACATAAGCGGGCCTTAGAGTGGGTTCGCGTGCATGTGGTAGTGTTGACATGTTGTGGTTTTATTATAGGCCGTGGCTATTCTTACGACCAGTCGTAACAATTATTTATGGACTATTCTTACGACATGCAACGCATAATAGTTAATAGTTCCGGTAACGCATGCGCAGTTACAAATTGTTGGACTTGTATATCTGCCGTATACTTTCCGTATATCAAGGAATGATGCAAAAATCCTAACCCCTAACCCAACCCGAACCCTAACACTAACTATAAACCGACTCGGCTATCTTATATATACTATCTATGGTATCCCTAACACTATGGTGTATAGATAGCCACTGTCGTCACACTGAGACATGTCGTAAGAATAGTCCATAAATAATTGTTACGACTGGTCGTAAGAATAGCCACGGCGTTTATGGCACGCTGTGGCTATATGCCCGGCAGCCGGGCACGGTCTTCGACTTCCTAAATGCCCGGCAGTCCCTAACCCTAACCCTTGTTTACTTGAGATAACACTGAAAATTAAAAAATGCCGGGCATTTGGGAAATTGAAGACCGTGCCCGGCAGCCGTCAGATATATGCCGGCTGCCGGGAATATAGCCACTCTGTTTATTATATCACTATCAAGAGCGTATAAAGAAGGAGAGCGTACAACGGTGAAATGCTGAAACCATGTTGCAGTATTAGTCGAATTAATAAACTTTCCCCATTTTATTTTGACGATCCAGTATTATTGATCAGCTGTCCTACCTTGTTAATATAAAACAAACTGCATGTCCCTACGATGCCTCTACGCTGAGATAATAACCGGTGAAAATCTGGTATTTTCGCCGAAAACCGACTCCAGATCAGTCAGTACTGCGACTGTCTCTCGTTTTGTGCACTGTATGTTGCTTCCAGTTGCCGCTGTGTAGTGCTGACTCGATACGTTATTACTGCAGCGTTACTACATCCAGCGTAAGGGGCGGGTCATCACCATGGCGATAAATAACAAGACGTTTTTGTGGAGTAATGGCTGCGTCAATGACTGGAAATGCGAGAAAAGATAGTAGAAGGAAAATAAATTTCATTGTCAATGAATGACGGAAACACGCGAGGTTTCCTGAAGATCTCGCCAGAATGAGAGACAGTTGCAGTACTGACTGATCTGGAGTCGGTTTTCGGTGAAAATACCAGATTTTCACCGCTCATTATCTCAGCATAGGGACAAGCGGTTTGTTTTATATTAGCAAGGTCAAGGACAGCTGATCAATAATACTGCAAAGAATCGTCAAAATAAAACAGGGAAAGTTTATGAATTCGACTACTACTGCAACATGGTTTCAGCATTTCACCGTTGTACGCTCTCCTTCTTTATACGCTCTTGATTATATTCATATGTTTTTGATTGTACAAATTTTCATCACTTATACTATAGTTATACTTATAGGAAAGTTAACTAGTAAAATTTATAACAGATGGTATATTATGTATTTTCAGGATTTCGGTGGTTGTACTGTTTTTGGAACACACATTCGCTATGAAGCATCCAGCCAACGAATTACTACCATTTGGTTAGTGAGAAGAAGAGAGTTAATAAAGACAAAGGAGTTTGACACGTATTTGGTACTGATTTCACTACATTTTGTCGTACGAGTTCGATGCGAATAAAAATACAAATGTATACAAACATCAGCTTCTTTTGTTCACCTTATTCTATCTTCTGGTAGTATTACAAACCGCATAGCTTTCTTTGTTTTGACATAAATCGTACTTTTGCACGACATGGTTTTCACGTTATTTACCGTCGTGTGGCGAGGCCAAGCGGTAAATTCGCATACACAGCAAATGAAAGGAGGCGCGGCAGTGCTTTTAGGCCGTAGTCTAGCCGAGTGCAGAAAATGCGCTTAGAAATTAAGTTACGTTGCACCCATGCTAGGTTTAAAAATTAAAACTATTTTACATTGAAACTGTAGTTAGAATGCCTTGTTTTATTGTTGATTACCGCAGTTTTTTTAAATAAAAGCTGCGCTGGTAAAATATCTGAACTACTTCACCCGCGGAGGGATGATGTGTATGAGTCTTATAGCAAGTAAATAACGTGAAAACCATGTCGTGCAAAAGTACGATTTATGTCAAAACGAAGGAAGCTACGCAGTTTGTAATACTACCGAAAGATAGAATAAGGACCAGTGAACAAAAGAAGCTCATGTTTGTATACATTTGTATTTTTATTCACATTGAACTCGTACGACAAAATGTAGTGAAATCAGTACCAAATACGTGTCAAACTCCTTTGTCTGATAGTTACCAGGGTACGTTTCGGTATACCGGACCGTACCCAGGGTACGTTCCGGCAGTACCCTGGGGGACATAGACCCTATGAGCGTAATTGTTTAGTAGCGGATCGAAGATTCCAAAGAGGCGGGTGAAAAACAGGCGGGTGTATGGGGGGTCCTCCCCCAGAAAATTTTTAAAATGTAGATCGCAGGAGATGGTATTTGAGGCACTTTTGAGTACATGTACAGCCTACATTCTGACTACGACAATTTTCTTTTTTTTAACTTTTGAATCAACAGGGGGGGGCATGGCCCCCTTTGGCCCTCCTAACTACGCCACTGTTTCAGGTTATTTTTTATATCCTATCTTATGTATTTTCCTCATAAAAAGTAGGGTCTGTTCTCTTGCACGACTTGTGTACGAATCCGCTGAAAGACTTTATACATACCTTGAACATACATAATAAATTAAAAAATGTTGCTGTTAGTAACAATTAAGTTAATGGTTGTCTAAATATGATATAATCCAATTATAATATTGAATTGAGATTTTACAGGTGGGAACTCATTTAGTAGATATGCCGCTTGTAAGATCTTGCTATGATATGAATGGCACAAAGATCCCTCGACCTTCTAATGCATTTATGGTATTCTCCAATGAGCATAGAAAATTTTTAGCTGACAAGTTTCAAGGAGAAGGTTTGTTTGTTACAATGTCAGAACATCTGTGTGTATTCCTGTTTGTCTGTCTCTCTGCATGACAGTCTGTCTGCCTGTCTATCTCAGTATCTGTCTATCTGTCCATCCGTCTAATGGTCTCTGTTTCTCTTTCTCTGTTTCTGTTTCTGTTCTCTTTCTGTTTCTCTGGTCTCTCTTTCTCTCTCCGTCCCCTTCCCTCCTTTCCCCTCCCCCTCTCTCTCATCTCTTTCTGTCTCTGTCTGTCTCTCTCTATATAGGCTTATATATATTTATTTATTTATAAATATAAATATTATTTATTTATTTATATGTTTATTTATGTATTTATATGTAGCCCTGTATAAGTGGTGCCTTGTAATTGATAAATTATAGTAGTGGAATGTAAATATGTAAATTTTACTCCTTTTTTATCAATCAATTTTATGTCACTGGACATTGTAGGGAACAACAGTATCAGCATAAGGCTGGGTGATATGTGGAAGTCACTTAATTCACCTGAAAAGGCCAAATACTTTGAAGAAGCCAGAAGGTTAGACTTGGAGCACAAGGCAATGTATCCAAGTGAGTTAAATCAATTTATGTCAAATTTTCAAGTTAACAATTTCACAGCAATGTTGTAAATGTTGCTTTTAGCCTAATATTGTCTTGCATAGGCTTACTGATAATGTCTGTTATCTTTTGTGGTACAAAGATTACCAGTATTGCCCAAAGGAGAACCGAAAACGGAAAGAGAATTTCCTAGACATAACCAGAACATGCTGCCAGAGCAACCACGTGTCATTTGACTCAAAACCATGTGCTCGCATACCAAAGCCAAAAGCACGTAAACGCAGGAGTATGAAAAGCAATCAGCTGTATGCAGTATTACCATCCCAGATCCCAAATGAGTTAGTATATATATCTATCTATTCATAAACTCAAATGAATTATTATTTGCAGTAATAATGAGTTTATTCTCCATCATTTTAGTAAGGTATAGGTGTGAGTAACATTGTGGTTTTGTAGCAACCAATATATATAAGTATTGTTATTCTATATTAAAGGCAATTGTAAATTATAACGAAGGATAATAAGTGTATGACATAAAGGTTTATTAGTGTATATAACGTGAAAAATGATTATGAATATTTTCTCATAGGCCTCCCATGTTAGTGGTATTTGACAGGAAGCAGCTAAGGCAAGAACAAATAGAGGCTTTGACTGGCAACTTCAGGTCAGATAATGCTACTCATGGAAATGCTGCCTCAACATGTTGTGTTACTGGTATAATAATTACAGCAAAAAGAGTATTCAAACTATATTTATTCTAATAAATGTAGTGTTGTGGAATCCTTGAATATTTGTGAAATATTCCACATCAATCGATTATTGCTATTAAAATATTACCGTAGTATAAAATATTAACAGTAGTGTAAGTTTATTTTAATGATTTTATTTCATTTGATTTTATACAGGATGTTGCATATCAAATAATAAACCTAATATAAAGGACTTAACTTAATATTGATCACAAGTATGATAATATTTGGAGCATTTCAACTGTCACTTTATTTTATTAGAATAATGTTGTTTTTTTGCTTTAGATAGCCTGTGTGATGACATCCATGGCAGTTTACTTGATGGAGCAGCAACAGTAGTGGCATCAGATCACACAACGACTGCATTATCCGCTAATAGAGTTCCACGGGAACTCTGCTGTGTAGGTGACCAATAGTAATACATAACTAATTATAATATTCTCGTTCTCCCCTCTCTCTCTCCAGTGCTCTACACAGTCGGTTGCCCGGTTGCCAATGGCGACCAAAACTTCTGCTGGGCGATTAAAAAATACCAAAAACAAAATTGGGCGAGTACAATTTCTGTTTGGCGTTAACACAGCGCAAAACAAGTGCTCAGATTTCGATTTATCGCAACACTCGGCGGACACGGCTTTCCTATGTAAAGGGAGATAATGCGGGTCAGGGAAGTTAGCTCCCAGTTCCCAGTTCCTTATTCGAATAAGGAACTATAGTAACTAGGCAATTTTAATAAAGAAGGGGCAATAATGTATTATTTGATATCAAAACTATAGTAGAAAAGGAAATTGTTCTGAGGTACATAGGGAAAAAAGTGACACATAGTTTACTCGTGACCAACTTTTTTTTCCTGTATTTCACACATGTGGTAGGACTTTCACTTGTGTACTTATTCTATTGTAGAAAAGCAATGCAAAGGCATGTGAATTTACAAGCTACAGAGAGCTAGTACATTGTGCTGAATCTGGCGTTGCCTACAGAAGGTATAGATGTGTATTTACTAGGTCATATTTAGGCTGCTATATGAACATTTCACATTTTTCTGGTCTACATATTCACTAACCTAGTTGTATAATCAAATATCTTTATGACATGGAATTCTCATAATATATTGACAGAGCCACTGTACCCAGTCAAAGTTATAGAAAAACTAAGCATTTATGTAATAGGTAGCAAGGGTGTACATTATGATGGATTTGAAGTTTCTCAGATTTTAGAGTAACCTATTGCTTATGAATTTCTCTTAATCATGCACATCTCCAATTTCTGTTCTAATTATGATTTTTTCACCTTTTTTTCAGTTGTCGAAAATCAGCATGGGAAGAGGAAAAGCATTTCTGGATTTTTCAAGCATGCACATTCACTGTAGGCATTGTCGCAATTATTGTAACCATGCTAAGACAGCATAAAATGCACCAACAGACATTGCAGCGCATACAGAAGCAAATTGGAGAGTCTCTTATGTGATGATGGATACTGAATGAAGGCTGCATACTTTTACCATCACCTGATCTGTACCGTATAATACTGAATAAACATGTTGTTACTAGATCTAGGGCAGCTGAATCAGTATATTAGTATGGGAAATTTCACCCCATGTAAAGATTATTGAATTAATGAACATAATCCCTAACATAAACCCTAACCCTCCGGCTTCTTTTATTTCATTCAGTATATGATTAGGTTGACAATTTTAGCAAGGAAATTTGTGCTCTCATACACCTGAAATATCTGTTATCTATCTGCATGAGTGCATGCAGTAGGCCTATATTGTCTCTAGACATATTAACTTTTGTACCATATGTGCATGTGTTATGTATGATATGTATGGTTCTAGGACAAATACCCCCCCGGACAATTACTCCCCATGCCATTTTATATATATATATCACAGTGAATTAAATTAAAATTTTCTATCTTTTAGGGTAGCATTCGATTGCAAGATTCCCATGGCTGTGAAATTGCAGTGGAAGAATTGCCAGCTGATCATGACCATACTCGTCACAGTCACGGTCAGGCTTGGCCATGTCAGACTGGACATTCTTTGTCATCAGATAGTGGTTACAACGACTCTCTTCCCAATATCTGTAAGATTGCATGCTGTTTTCCATCTAGCACAGAGTATCTATAATCTGGCTAAATTCACTATTGTTATAAATTGTTGTTTGTATTTCACCATTTTCATTTGGATTAAATCAAGTAAATAACAAGTTTTTAAAGCCTAGAAATATTAAATTATTTGTTTACAAACCACCAAGTGTTATATTGTAGTTCTCTTATACTATATAGTGTCAGTTTTATGTATTTTTAGATACATTTTCTCATGCATTGTGTGAGAATTCCCAGCAGGGTAGCCCCTGCCAACACATTGACAAACAACGCATTAGTAGAAAAGATTGTCTCATATTGGAGCACAGCTACAACCATAAGGAAAGAGTACAGGTATGGCATGGATGTGGGTAATGTAATTGTATGTAACCATACTGATATAACTCTAACGTTTATTACAACAATCTTTTCTACACTAGGTGGCATTTAATAACTAATGGGTTTATATATTTCCTCATTATTTGGCAAGAGACTCCTTACTTAACAACAACTCCATGCGATAATTTATGTGTTCGTATGAGATCATCACAGACCCGTTTGTTTATAACAATCAGCAAGGTCAAAGAAACTTATTAGACATAGGATATGAGGTGGTGAAGGTAAAGTAAGTATTTTTTGGCCTTCATGGAATCTGAGATAGTTTGCATGTATATTAGTACGTTTTTTGCTTTTCTAGGAAAGTCAAGTTTTACATATTCCCGAGGAGAAGCCGGTTTATGCGACTACGCAACAACAGGGGATTCATTCACATGATCAAAGTCGCTTCTATTATCATGATGCTGGTTATGAATTTTCAAACCACTGCCAGAGGGAGTTGTTGGATGCATCCTGGTGCCACAAAGAAATGCAAGAGGGGTGCGTTAGCTCACTGCAACAGATAGGCTTTGATGGGGACTCACATGTCCACAAGCCTCATGTAAGTGACATGTTATCAGGATCAGATTGTGCATACCCATCAACGTTTGATTGGCACTCTGCTAAGATATGTGGTGCTGGTGGTGATAACAATGACCATTCACATTTTCCATGGGACAGACACGTGGTCACACATTTGAATGGCACTGCACTATCTGACCTTGTTGCTCATGATCTCCCCCCTATGGAAGCTGCCAATCAGCCTGTTCATATCACGGAACAGAAGAAAAGTAAAGATGTTGTTAGCCTCAGAAGAACTGTAGAAGGCGAGAACGCCCAAATGAAACGTAGCTGGAATCTGGGCTACGCGTCTGCTGGCAAAGATGGAGCATTTGCTTTCAGAGAACATAATACCATGGGTGGTTGTCAGTTTCCGGAAAGCGATGGCAGTAGTAGCTGTGGAGATCGGGTTTCAGCTTTCCCTGTAAATTCTGTGGGCTTTTCATCCAATGGAAATGTGGCAGCTACTGCTACCTTCACTGCCAATGACACACCCCTCAGCCTTGAAAACTGCCACCTGGATAATGCTGAACACACTGAAAAAGTCATGCAAGGCTCAGAGCAAGCAGTGAGTGCCAGATGTGATCTCGCAACTAATATACTGTCTACCGCAATTGCAGCAACATTCCCTGAAGGAGTGCCATTCGGTGGTGTCTGAAATTTTTGTCTTGTAATATAGCCACATGTAAGGAAGTAGCGGGGAAAAAGTTGCAGTTGGATTCTTAGGTGTTACAGACTTTATATGCAAAAAACATTCTGCCAGTGATAGATTGGTTAAGAAAGTCATAAATCTTACCGAGATATTGATTGCAACGTTATATGAAATTATTAATTATTTGGTACTACTGTTAAAAGGAATGACATTTGTTTATTAAAGTTGTTATTACAGTAGAAACAAACTTTACTTTTTATTAATTAAATTAATTTTAATTTAAAAATTTATTGAAGTTTATACACATTGTTTTTGAGTTGACACTAGCTTACATTTTATTTCTTAATATAATATTTGTGTAGATTTGATTATTTGTGTATTAAAGTTGTTATTACAGTGGAGACAAACATTATTTTTTGTTAATTAAATTAATTTTAATTTAAACATTTATTGAAGTTTATACACATTGTTTTTTGAGTTGACACTAGCTTACACTTTATTTCTTAATATATATAATATTTGTGTAGATTTGATTATTTGTGTATTAAAGTTGTTATTACAGTGGAAACAAACATTATTTTTTGTTAATTAAATTAATTTTCATATATAAATTTTTTGAAGTTTATACACATTAGCCTCGTCTACACGACGAACTTTAACTCGAGTTAAGCTAACTCGAGTTAGCGATTATGTAGCGTCTACACGACAACACCCGATAGCGATTATTACCGATTTATTATGCATGCGTGCGTGCGTGTGTATGTAAACGTGCGTGCATGCGTGCGTGCGTGTGTATGTAAACGTGCGTGTGTGCGTGCGTGCGTGTGTACGTACACGCGCGTTCGTGCATGCGTGCGTGCGTGTGCACGTACACGTGCGTGCATGCGTGAGTGCGTGTGCACGTACACGTGCGTGCGTGCGTGCGTACCTACACGTGCGTGCATGCGTGCGTGTACACGTACACGTGCGTGCATGCGTGCGTGTACACGTACACGTGCGTGCATGCAGGGTCATGCGTGGTACACGTAACCGTGCCGTGCGTGCGTCCGTGTGTGTGCATCGTCGTGGTCCGTGTGTGTGGCACGTACGACCGTGCTGTGCGGCGTTGTGCGGCGGCGCGTGTGCGAGTGCTACACGTTCGTGCGCTGCGCTGCGCGCTGCTGTGCACGGTACACAGTTGTGCGATGGTTGCGTACGTTGCTTCAGCTGCGATGCGTGCTGCATGCAGATGCACGTAGACGTGCGTGCCGTGCGGTGCGTTGCACGTACACGTGCGTGCATGAGTGTGTGCGTGTGCAAGTAACGCTGCTCGCGTGATGCTGTGCACGTAAGCGTGCCGTGCGTGCGTGCATGCCGTGGCACGCTACATGTGCGTGGCGTGCGGTGTGCACGTCACGTCCGTTGCATGAGTGTGTGCGGCGTGTGGAAGTACGCGTGTCGTGCGTGCGGTGCTACGTACATCCGTACTAGTGCTGCCGCCTATCGTGGAGTGTAAGTTAACTCGAGTTAGCTCTACACGGGCCTTATTAATAACTCGAGTTAAGTACTCGAGTTAGCTTAACCTCCGATTCGGACTGGCGAGGTTAGCTAACTTCGAGTTAACGTAACTCGAGTTAAGGCCCCGTGTAGACGCTTAACTCGAGTTAAGGTTCGTCGTGTAGACGTAGCTCTAATAGCTTACACTTTATTTCTTAATATAATATTTGTGTAGATTTGATTAAATAAACTAATAAATTGTTGCCAATAGATGTCAATTCTGAACATGCCTATTCCATTGTACATGCATAAAAGTGTGCCAGGTTTCAGTATAAAACTTGTAGTAAAAAATTGTATTAATATTTTTCACTTTTAAGTTCATTTAACTGAAGGTAATTTTTAATTTGTCTAAAAGAAAAATCGTATATTTATTTTAAACTTCATCATGACTCGTCATTATGAATGAAATTGCAGTGGTGATTACCAAAGGAAATGCTAGTGTGGTGAAGGAATAGTTGTGTTCAAAATACCAGCTTCTAAACTGGCACTTTATGTATTCAGTGAAGGTAACGTAGCATACTTTGAGCTAGTATAGTACCCAGATGCTTGGTTATACAAGGTATCAGGAGTTAATAAAGACAAACTTTGTCTTTATTAACTCCTGAAGGTATCTCTTAATAACATTGTCCGGTTATTTTCTGTACAAAACACGGGCGGCACATTAACTGATGACATGAAGTTTTTGTTCTGTATATTTGTGTGTGTGTGTGTGTGTGTGTGTGTGTGCGCGCGAGGGTGTGTGTATGATCCATTATTCTCCATCTTGACTTTGTTTAAAACTCCTATTTATTGTAAGTTATTAAACAAAAATCAACAACATAGTTACTGTTGAACTTAATATTGACTAATTACCACAAAAATATCTGCAACCTAATGCTACATGATGTAACTTAATTGTGGCCGAGGTGCTCTTGAAACCTAAACAGCTAACGATAGTAAAAATGTTTAAAAATTGTAGGAAAGTTAAAAAAATGTTTTAATCCGATATCTATTTTATTTTATTTTTTATTTTATTTTTTATATGGCTTTTTAGAACAAGCTCGTACATCAAATACAGTAATTCGTACTACCGAGCGGCCTCCAGATCTATATCACTGTCTCGTGTAGCATGGTTTGTAGCCGGCCATTAACATGAACTCGTAGCAATGTTCCTCTATAATTTTGATGACACGCGGTGGAAGTGCGTCCATCCACGCTGTTGCTGTCGCGTTGGAATCCTTGCGGAACGTTCCAAAGCGATACACCTTGGATGTCTGGTTCCCACTGACCTTTCCCTGAGTGTTCACGTCCAACCACTCGTAAACGCTGGGCGGGAGTTCCGGCAAGCCAACAAAGTCATAAAGTTGTTTGGCACTCTCTACGGGCGCTGCAGCCAAATCCTCGTACCTAACACGACGATAGCTCGAAGGTGCGCGCAGTCGCAGGCTGTTGCCCTGCACGAGATTTTTCAGTTGATCTGCGCAGTGGATCTTCACATTTGCACGCAGTATCTCGACTGCTGCGGAGACGTTATTGGAGAGGCTCGGCCACCAAGACCGGAACATGCCTCTCGGATCACGGATGAGATGAAGTATTTTCACGTCGAGGATCGGATGTTCAAGCAATGGTTCAAGGTCGCTGATGTTTGCGCGGATCACCTTAATCGCACAATGCCCGTACGTGTTGCAGACCGCTGGCACCACCTCAAATCGCGTCTTCACTGTTTCCTTTATAAGTTTACTGCAGTTCGGTTCTATCTTGCCAGCAATATCTACTGCCATCGGGCAACCAAGGGTCTCAGTAATGGCTTTGCTCATGTACATGAAATTGGTTGTCGGTTTGTAGTCTTTATTCGGTTTGCACAAAAACAAGCTCGTGAGAAGAGATCGCTGCCTTACGGCCTTTTGTTCGGACGACAAGTTAGCGTAGTCAGGCACTGTACCAAATGAGTGAAGCGGTTCAAAGACATAATACACATCCGCGTTTTGATTGAATATTTCGCCCGTGAACGTAGATCCTGATCGGTAGCGCGTACTGATGAGGATGGCCTTCTTTCGTTGTTGTAGTGGTTGGGGTCTCTCATATTTCCATTGATTTCCTGCAACTAAAAGTCTATACATTATATTACTATATACTATTATAGGCAACATATAGACTAACGGCAAATCATATAAAGAAAATAGGCGAAATTCGCCACACTTATGCGTAAAGTGACTATACGTATTCCTTGATAATATATTGATTACGTTTTTATATGAGCATTGTCCGTGATATCTCAGTGAGGAAATTAAGAACCTTAGAACCTTTGCCGTTTTAACTTCTGTATGGTACAAAATAGCAACATTTACGCGGTGATATATATATATATATCAAGAGCTAATAATACCTAGAGTGTACAACGGAAAAACGGGNCTCAAATCGCGTATTCACTGTTTCCTTTATAAGTTTTACTGCCAGTTCGGTTCTATTTTGCCAGCAATATTTACTGCCATTGGGCAATCAATGGTCTCAGTAATGGCTTTGCTCATGTACATGAAATTGCGTGGCGGTTGGTAGTCCTTATTCGGTTTGCACAAAAACAAGCTCGTGAGAAGAGATCGCTGCCTTATGGCCTTTTGTTCAGACGACAAGTTAGCGTAGTCAGGCACTTTACGTTTAAATGCGTGAAGCGGTTCAAAAGACATAATACACATCCGCGTTTTGATTGAATATTTCGCCCGTGAACGTAGATCCTGATCGGTAGGCGTACTGATGAGGATGGCCTTCTTTCGTTGTTGTAGGGTTGGGTCTCTCATATTTCCATGATTCCCTGCAACTAAAAGTCTATACATTATATATACTATATACTATTATAGGCAACATATAGACTAACGGCAAATCATATAAAGAAAATAGGCGAAATTCGCCACATTATGCGTAAAGTTTTTATATGAGCATTGTCCGTGATATCTCAGTGAGGAAATTAAGAACCTTCGAACCTTTGCCGTTTTAACTTCTGTATGGCACAAAATAGCACCATTCACGCGGTGATATATATATATATATATATATATATATATATATATATATATATATATGCTAAGTTAGAAGTTAGATATTGTTCGTTTCGTATATGAATTGTCTCGAACCAATGCTAGTTTTGCTTCTAAAAAGAGCATAGTCTTAGAAACACCGTTGCTTTCCACGTATGTGGAGCTATTGATGGATAGTTCCCTTGTCACCCACATCAAAGCGACTACTGCCATTGCGCTAACCAGTCCTTTTTTCAGAAGCATCCGTTGGCACCCCGCGCAACTTGGAGTTGGAATCTCCATGATGAACCTACACATATATCTATATATATATATACACGCGTATACGCGCGTGCGTATGCCGGTGCGCGTATCTGTGCGCGCGTGTGTGTGGGCGCGCGCTTGTGCATGTGCGTGCGTGTGTGAAAACCATTGAATTATTAGAACGGAAGAAATCACTGCATTATTTTGACATTGGCATTGAAAGGCCAATATCAGAGGGTGATAATGACATCTGGCTGATGACCTGTCATTATTCACCCATGCGAACAAGAAAGTAAGGCAGTCATGAATTATCGATGATCTCAATAATGGTAACTTGAAAAATACCTATCAATATAGGAAGTTAGGTCAAAGAGTTTATAGTAACCTATAAAAACAGGAAATCTCTGGGAGTCTGGGAATTTTGATATATATATATGTATATTTATACGAACGTGCGTGCGTATGTCGGCGCGCGTATCTCTCTGAGTACGTGCGTGAGTGCATGTGCGTGTGCGTGTGCTCATGTATGGCTACTCCTGCTTCAAAGTTCAACCTATAAAATAAAATTAACATCGATAAAAACATGTAAATCTGATTGAATGGTCGGCGGTCTGAACTTGCACATGCGAAATTATTGTATAATAGTTGTATATAATATTTATAACTGTAAATATAAAGGAATATATATATAAATAATTGTCAGTGAGAATAGTAAGCGTTCCAGTCGAACATACGATCATATGAGTTAAATTCTTTAATCTTATCTGGTGTAAACGTTGCTGACATGAACGTCGCCGTCTCTCTGGCGATCGGTGGCTTTTAAACTGACTGCATGGCAGAATCTACCGAATATGAACCATACCAATGTGTTTATTATCTACTCTTGACCATACATAAACGTAGCGGCAACGCGCCGCCACACTCAAGTAACTGTGACATCGACGGCTTCAACGACTAAATCGCACTTAGTTTGCTTCATTTCTAACTGATCGAAGCCGAGTCGACAGGTAAACGTAATCTCGGCGCTCTTTATATACGACAGATAGCGTGCGCAATGACAGTGTAGGGCGACGTAGGTCGATCGTCGACGTAGGGTGTGACTAGGCGCAGCCTAGGACACACTGCGCGATTTTCTACGCTGGCCGCTTGTGATCGATAATACGTGCGGGTCCGCGCGGATGCTGTCCCGGTCTCACGGCAGCGTATTTCGCTCGCGATCGCATACGCCCGGCGCATCGCTCGTATTGTTGACATATTGACATATTCGACATGTTGAATATTTCCGCCCGGTTTTCTATCGCGTGCGTACAAATACGACATTGTGTCCACATGTTCGCGCGCGATTTCTTTCAGCAGCCAATCAGTTTAGTACAGGCGCAGCTCACATGACCTGCATGAAAATAACAGCGCTAAACACAAGAAGTGTGAACTATGCAGAAGGAGGATGATTTGGCCATTTTATGGTCAGAGAACTCGTGTCTGTATTACATACAGTCTGTAGAGTATCGCAATCGAGTTGCGAAGGAAATAGCATTAAATGCTATAGCGCAACTACTGGAGATGACTGGTAATTTCACCCTGTATAAATAGCTCAATAAATCGAATTATTTTTATTGTTTAATTGACGATTTCGTATGGCAGTGTTGTGCATATAAGTATGACAACAGCCCTTAATTACTTATATATTATTTATAGATGGGCTATTTGTAGAATTTTAGCAAATTTAATTTGAATTCTATGTACAACCTTCCGTCTAACACACACTGTTCCGACTTTATTTATTTTCACCCGTTACTGTACATGCTACACGTACATGTACATGTACATGTAACACGGCTAGCGTACAAAATCGAAGTGTGTGTCCAGCTGTACGCGCAACTCGTACGGCGTTCTAATTAACAAATAAAATCGTATAATCGTAAATCGTATTATCGTAAATCGATTAATTAACAATTAAAATCGTGAGCGAAAATATACGCTGCCGGGCAGCGTACAGAATCGCTAGTGTGTCGAACTTAAAGAAACTTACGTAACTTAAGAACGTAAACTTAACTTATTACGTACTTTACTTATTAATTATTACTTACTACTTATTACTTATTACTTTACTTATTAGTTACTTTACTTTACTTTACTTAAACTTTACTTATTACGTAACTTAAGAACTTAAAGAAACTTACGTAACTTAAGAACGTAAACTTAACTTATTACGTACTTTACTTATTAATTATTACTTACTACTTATTACTTATTACTTTACTTATTAGTTACTTTACTTTACTTTACTTAAACTTTACTTATTACGTAACTTAAGAACTTAAAGAAACTTACGTACGCGCGGCACGAGAGCAAAGATTTTCGACTCGGATATTTCCAGTGCGTATATACAGTCTATAGCCGCGGAAAACAACGGTATTTTTTAAGCCCTGTCTACACTAGCAAACTTTAGCAAACTTTAGTTTGCAAACTCGAGCAAACTCCGAGTTCGAGCAAACTCGAGCAAACTCGAGCAAACTCCGAGTTCACTGGTACTGACTGTGAATTCCAATGTTCAATGTCCAATGTTTGTCTATCTGCAGGATCACATGACTACAAACTGTCATTTGATTGGCTGAGTTATTCCAAACTCAGCAAACTCGAGCAAACTAGTTTGTCAAGAAGGTGCACGGCCTAACTTCTGCAAACTTCTGCAAACTAGTTTGCCGAAGTTTATCAACTGGTCTACACTGGCAAACTTTGGAAAACTTTTCTGGCCAAACTCGGAGTTTGCTCGAGTTTGCTCGAGTTTGCAAACTAAAGTTTGCTAGTGTAGACAGGGCTTTACGCTGATACCTCGCGTGTTGTTAATATTTTCGTATATATGTATATGTCCCGTAGCTTTTAATATCCTATTGGGTACTGTATACGTGTTAACCCCCGCCAAAGTCCGCTGCTTGATTTACGCATTTTTTCGATTCACGCGACCATTTTCACATTCGAGTCACGGATAAAAGCTAGGCCACCTTACGTGCCAGCTGAACCTAACTATATATACCTCCAAGAGCGCATAAAGAAGGCTTCTTGATACCTCTGATTTGCATGCAAAACACATGTAGGCCTACAGCTGCAGTGTCCTTTAAACCAGGGAATATTGTTCGAATAAAGGTGGATGGCGATAATAGGTGGAAGATTTGGTATTATACGTCCAAAAGTCGAAGAATGCGCGCATGCAGGTCAAGACACAATAGTGGAGAATTTTGACAGACTCCAGTGCGTACCATTTACATTTACTCATTTACTCATTTACAGTCAGTAGCAGTCAGCAGTACTCATTTAGCAGTACTCATTTACATACAGTGGCAGTCAGCCACGTATGACTTATCACGCCTCTCTGGACTCTTATGTTATTTTGGCAGCTCAAAAAAATATCTTTTCTTATCTGTGCAATATATATGATTGTGACAACCTACTACTACACAAGTTTTCGGCATATATATACAAGGAAATTAATATGCTTTAGGTTTGCAAATCGGTTATTGCGTGTGTAATCCCCGTGTAAGCTCACGGAGACAGGCTGTTGTTTTCACCGGCACAGCTGGTTGCTAGGTTAAGAAAGTCCCGGATGTGGCAAAGTTCCCGGCTGTCCGCCCGCACCTATAAGGTTCGTGTTATATTTCCTTGTCATTCATGTGAAGCCGAGTTCCCAGTGAATTCAGTCAGCGACTAGGTCTTATTTACATCATATTCATTAATAAGGTGATGCCAACGGCTCTATTTTTGACAAAATATAGCAAACAAATAAACATTCATACCGTTTTGCTTACACAATCATGTTATTATTGATTTCTAGGCGATATTACCATTAGCACACGACTTGGCTGAGAGTGGCAAAACGCGCCTGCGAGTTTGAAGATAATACATAACGATAGAATTTGTTACTAGTAATCGTGGTCGTATAAAATTCGTGTATGAAGGTTTTGTCTATGTGAAACAGAAAACACTGGCTGATGGAGTCATATCCTATGAGTGTGAGATGAGGCGTAACAGCAAACAATGTAGAGCCATAGTTAGAGTTGATGGTGACCGAGTTGTTGGACGTTTCAATGAACAGACCCATGCTCCTAATGTTGGACGTTCGGAAGAGATGAAAGTTCGCCAGAACGTTAAACGTCGTGCAATAGACACTGAGGAAAGCGCTCAGCAAGTCGTCACGCAGGGACTCGGGAACGTTAGTGATGAAGCGGCTGTAAAACTTGCAGCTATTCGTAACATTCGTCGCTATCGCCAAGCTGCTGGAAATCCACCTGTGCTCCCACAGACACTAGCAGACCTAGTTTTACCATACGAATATCAGCGTACATGTATGCTCTAGCTGATGAGCCATTTCTGCTGTTTGACAGCGGTGCTGATGATGATAGAATCGTGCTATTCTCTACCGAAATTAACCTTCGCGTTCTGGAGACATCTACGGACTGGTTTTGCA